ATGTTCCTTAAATAGATGAAATGAATTAGCCAGCCAATGTCAACACAGAAATAGATTCACACTAAGAAACCATGTAACTTAACTCTACCGGATGTAAACTCGATAGCGTTTTTAGACTACCAGCAAACCTTAACGGTCATTCATTCATATTGTAACTTGCCTGACGAGTGTGGCCATCTCTGATGACCATACGAAACCAGCTTGTAGCAATAAAACAATGAATCATTCTAGTCTTTAAGTACAATTATATTTTTTATATAATGCTCCTTGATAAAGTTGAGCACTTTTTTGAAAACATTTTCGATAATTTTAAGTATCATGGTTTACAATACATGTGGTAATATTCTTTACCTGTGTATCATGAATGCTTCTGCTTGTGCTGGTTCAAGAAAGTTTGGATCCTGTAACAACAACTGGATTCCTTGAAGAACCTAAGAATGACAAGACGGCATGGGTCTCAGTTTATAGAGTTTGGGATGGAAGTAGACAAACAATGTGCRCCGTATGTGAGACAGGCGACATGACTGGTGACCAGAACCTCACACCTCTCATGGCTTGCTGCCATCTTGAAAGGTAGCCARGCCTTTCCTCAATGTGAGACAGCAGTTGAGGTTACAGTGATGGATACCTGTTAATAACTCAGTTGTGAAGCCAAAAACATGATCTATTGCAGGCTCAACCCATGCCCATTTTGATGTAACAGCTATTCAATCCATTCTTGTACCCAGATCTCTCTCAGTATCCCAGCAGAAAATCTCAGGCTCTGGTTGGTGATCAATGGATCTTTGATTTGATTGGTTCAAAAATTCCCATGTGCCATCAACTGTATGCACATCGGTATTCTTACAGTATTTGTTCCAACCAGAGCTTTTGATTTTCTGATTTTCTGAGATGGCCTTAGRAGTTATAAATTGGAGTATTAAATGTTTGGCATTTATTAGTTAGAAAATGTGTTCAAAACAATTGTTTGTTGTTGTTTTGTTTGTTTGTTTGTAGATTACTATTTAGATTTGTTTAGTTTTTGTTTCTTTCTCATGGTAGCTCTACTCATGCAAAGGAGAATGGAATGCAATTTTTCTTACTTGTTTCATAGTGACTTGTGGTTTCCAATCCTTGTTTTTGTCTATCAACGACAAACAAACAGTACCTGATGGGAATACATTAGGATGAAGAATGCTTGGAGTGAAGATACCTATAAACCACACAAAAAATGTCAATTTCATTTGCAGGGCTGCATAGGGCATCTGGTAATTTATCTGTGTCAATTTTAAAATCATTCGTCATTGTGCTCAGTCCATAAGGCATAAACTTGAGTGAAATATTTTCCCATTAAGCCATCCAACTTAGCCAATAGGAGCATTAGCATAATTCTAAATAGTATATCAAAGAGGGTTGTCCAATGCAATTATGCATAATATTGTTAGTATAATTGTTTTACAGTATATCCACATAACAATAGATTAGCAATATATACAATACATATTTAAAATGACTGGCACAATATTGCCTGTGTACATCCGTTTCTTCCCAAAGGAAGGTGAGAAATGTATGTACACAGGCTAGCACAATACAATACAAAGCAATACAATGCCATGCATAGATTTTTCAGTATATGATGATAGCTTGCAAGGCATTCTGACTTACATTTAGGTGGGGAAAAGGGATAGTCTTGTGGGAATTCCAATCTTAGAGGGAAAAGCCCTCCTTCCCATGGTGTCTAGTGGAGAAAACAATGCATTATTAATTCATTATAATCTAAGTTTAAATTACATGATAAATAGACAAGAAACACAACAAATCAATCAGCAGATAAACAAAATGTCTGGATAAATGACAATCGATGAATGGCTAAATAAATGTACAGCAATACATAGTATTTTTGCTATTTTCGGACAATTTTTAACCAAATTACTTTCCATTGAAGTGRAACAGTGATATCAACCTTTAGAGAAAGAAATCCATAGACAACCAAAAAYTGGTTACATTTTGACATTGTAGAACAGTATTTTCAGTACTCAACGTTTTTTTATATACATTTAGATCTGTATGCTGAACAAATGAAATAAAGTGCAACAGAAACATGAGTTTCATGTTTTTCTAAGAAATGTGAATGTTTGACTGCAAAATAAATAAAAAAGAAAGAATAAAGAATGAATTTTGACAAGTTTTCAAATATATTCATATATACCTTGGYTGGTCCAGGAATAGCTATAAATAAAGCAACCACAAAGTAGTTATTCCTTCAGTGAATATTTACAGTTTCAAGGGACATAAATCTTACATGTAATTCTTGGTGTGCAAGTTATGTTATGCAAGTTATGCACGTTATGTGCAAGTTTATGTGCAAGTGGTATGCCATGTTGGATAAAGATCACAAAGCATTCCTCAATAGTCTCTCTTGCTCATTCATCTAACATGGTGGCAAGCTTTGTTTTCTTAGGGGATTCCTCAGGTCATGTTGTTGCACACCAAGAATAGTGATAAGGCTTAACTGACTGACCATGCATACCCAAAAAGAATTATTGATCTTC